TATGGGTCCGTTCATTTGGTGCCGTGATAGGTTCGTGATGCAAGTGACCCAGGTTCGAACACTGCACGGCGTCTCTGATGTAGTAATCATGAGGTTAGGGGTTCATGGGGATCGAGCCTCAGTCTTGACGGTGTGTCCTTGGGGAAAAGCACTTTACATTTACACGAATTTTCCTCACTTCACCCAAGTGGGAATGGGTACCTGGCCATAGTCAGTGGAAGTTCTTGTCAGGATGTTAGTGTTTTAACGCCTTTAAAATGGCAGCTTGCACGGTATGCTTCCCGGAAAGGTGACATTGTTTTAGAATACTATCAGGTCTGCTGGTTTTATAGTGTAGATTGTTGATATATATATATATATATATATATATATATATATATATATATTCTTTTTTATATATATGTATAATATATATATAAATATATTGTGTGTATATGTGTGTGTATGTGTGTGTATATGTGTGTATGTGTGTGTGTATGTACGTGTATATGTGTGTGTGTGTGTGTGCGTTTAAATATGAGTTAGAGACTGCTTGGGGGCTCAATAGATCTGTCGCCAAGCAAGCCCCCCTATCCCCCTCCCCTCCCCCGCCACATTTCAGACCTTTGTGGACATTTACATAAGAACGAGAAGTAATTCAGTGATGACGGCCTGGCCCTATGTGAGGTCGATAACCTAGCGTTCGACGCGGAAGGTGGAGGGGGTGAGAACAATATTATGGAAAAAGCAGCAGGTCATACGGAGAATGCAGTCCTCATTATGTGACCGAAGAGTACAGGGGAAAAACTGACGATGTCCAAATTATAGTCTTTTCTTCAACCCCCTCTTTGTGCAACACAGTTATGGCGTGAAAAGGATGAAATTTAGCTAAAATAATCTCAAAAGGAAGATTTCAAGAATAGAATAACAACAACAACAACAACAACAACAACAACAACAACAACAACAACAACAACAACAAAACAAAAAGGAAAAAAAGAAGCGTCTACGAATCCTATACACGAAAGAACCAGGAAGTATCAGGGACTGAATTTTCAATTTAGTTGGAAAATGTCGCATCGCCAGTTTTTTCGTTGTAGTCGTCTACTGTTTTCGTTGTTTTACTTTTTTTTTGGACTGTGCTTTTGTTTTGTTTTTTAATTGTTTTTATTTGTTGATATTGTTTTAAGACGGGTGGGATATCAGAGAATTTGTGTCATTTTAGGTTTTTTGTTTATTGTTGTTGTAGATCTTGTAGGTTGTTTTGTTTGTTTGTATTTTTGTTTGGGGGGTTTTGTTGTTTTGTTTTGGGGTTGTTGTGTTTTATTGTTGTTGTTTGTTTGGTTGTTGTTTGTTTGTTGTATTTTTGTTGTTGTTGTTGTTGTTGTTGTTTTTTTTGGGGGGCTGTATATTATGTGGGACGGATGCCCGCCTACATTCAACGTATTTCCTTTCACTTACCATAAGCAGTTTCCTTCCTGAAGTGTAAGAGATTACATTCACAATAGAGACGGGCAGTAGATTAACACCAGACCACTTTAATGCAGCAGGAAGTTCGATTTTTAAAAAACTCATCATAGATCACGATGTTTGTACGAGGGGCGTTCAATACGTCTTTACCCTGACTATGAAGGAATTGTCGTAGAACGATGAAACTTGTAGAATGCGATGTCTAGCTTTCTGGAGCGCTGCGGTGGATTTTGGAGAAATTTTGATGAGCGGTTTGAGTGAGAACACTTCTATTAAAGGTGGTTTTGAATACAAGGGGAGCTTTGGATTTTTTCCTGCTCTGCGATAATGCAGGAGTCAATCTTGACCACAGTCTGACCATGAAAAGCCAGGCAGAGGGTATAAAGAACAAGGCGAAAAGAAGACTCCAACTTTTAAAGAGAAACTGGCCAGCAGTTCATGGGGATCAGACAAAGAAACTCTGAGAGTTCTAAACCTTGATTATGTCCGATCTTCCCTGGAATACAGCAATAGCCTACTCACTATGTACTGTACAACTACTTACAATTTCCTTGACAAGCTCCAAAATAATGCCCTTCATTTCATAAACGGTGGCATGAGATCTACACCTGCTGCTGCATGTAAAATTATTTCGACTGTTGAACCCCTGGGAATTCGCTGAGATAAAGCAGTTTTGGAGCTCCATGAAAGAACCAAAACAATGTGCCCAACCACCCAAACAGGAAATAAGTAGAAACATGGAAACCAAAGAAACGACTTCAACAAAAATCAATCATGCATCACGTCACAGAACTAATGGAGAGCCACCATCTACCACAAGACAGAAGAGAAACCTAAAGAGTCAACCCAAACATTCCTCCCCACAATTCTTTGAGAAACCAATCTTAACAACATCTCACAGAGCCAATAGCACAAAATCTTCAGACCCAGAGACACTGATGCTTGCATCGCATCAAACAATCGTCAGCTATTCAGATTACTCGATACACGTCTATACAGACGGCTCAGCGTTCAAAGGCACAACCGGATATGGAATACTAATACAGTATCCAGATGGAAGTTCCAACCAGATCTCTGCAACCTGTTGAGAAAAATTCAACAATTATGATGCAGAAATGATGGCAATTGAAACAGCACTATACCATCTCTGCTCAGTTTTTGACGTTCATCCAAACAAAATGCAGAGTATTGTGATTTTCCCTGACTTGCAAGGAATATAAAATGACCATCATCTATATCAAGACTTGACACATATTATTTATACTGTTTGGCTCCCTCACTTGATAACATCCTGTGGCGTCAACCTCGTGATGCAGTCGATTCATGAACACCTTAAACATACCTGGAAATGACAGAGCAGACACACTCGCCAAAAGGGGATCTAGACAGGAACAGTCCAACGTTCCATCTCATACAACACTGCAAAACAAATCATTAAAAGCAACAGAAAACAAGATTGGACGAACAGATGAGCCTTGGAAAAGACAGGCAGAGCAGTATTCAAACATATGACCACAACAAAACAAAATGACAATATCAACCACCTACAGAGAAAGAAACAGACAACGATCTTCCGCCTACGAACAGAACATATATAGCTCAACTTTCACTAAACAGGATAAAACCAGAACCTCCCCCAATGTGTCCTTTGTGTGACTATGCACATGAGACTGTGGAGCATCACCTTTTCCACTGTACAGCCCTAAATGACATCAGAGCTACATTTCTCCCGAGACCTAACTCTACGGAACATTACAGCAACTGCAGCAAACCTGCACCTATCACAACATGGCATTGACCGGAAGGGCTGTTGCTGGATCGTTAACAACAACAACTACAACCCTGACTTTGAAGGAATTGTCGAAGAACGATGGAACTTATAGAATGTGATTTCTAGCTTTCTGGAGCGTTTGTGGATTTTTTAGAAATTCTGATGAGAGGTTAGGGCGAGAACACTTCTATTAAAGGTGGTTTTGAATACGAGGGGAACTGTGAATTCTTTTCCTACTCTGCGATAATGGCCCTGTGCACAGACCGGCAAAGACAACAGACAACAAAGCAATGTGGCTACACAATGCTACCCCCCCCCCCCACCTTATTTTTTCTCTGACGTGTATCGTTTTCTCAAATCTATTTAAAGAAAAAGAAAGGACAAAATTCAAAGGACATAGTGATGAAGATGCTGTATGTGCAGCAGAGGAATAGTTTGAGTCCCATCCGAGGTCATAGTACTATGCTCAAAGACTATTGAATGTCAAACCCCCCCAAAAAAGGCAAACCTGCATGTCTTTACTGCTTGACCATGTTGAGAAGTAGCATTGTAAGTGTAAAATTTCAACTATCTAGTTTATTTCATTCATAGTCAAGGTAAAGAGCTATTGAACGTCCCCCGTAACAATCCATGTCATTTTCTAGGGGGGTGTTATTTATCGTAATCTTTCTTGTATCTTCCGGGTACTGAATAACTGCTATTGTGGTGATTATTTTCTCTTTATTCAAACTTTGAACAGAGTAAACAAGAGAAGACTTGAACCCCCACCCCGCCCCACCCTTTTCTTCGCCCATTTATTTCACCCCGATAATACCGGTGAGAGACAACAGAAATAATAAAATTAAAATAAACTTCCTTGTTGGTACAGTATGTAACCATAGCCCTTGTTCGACAGGTCCACCAAGTCAAATAGGTTGAAAGCCTAGCAAGCTCCGCAAATAACCTACTAAATTCCAGAACCATCCTTCGGGGATTCAAACCAATGTGATCAGACCAATAGTCTGGAATAATTCCAACTGAGTTTGTCACGCGCCAGTTGATTCTTGCATAATTTAATGGTTTGACGATGCTGGGTCAGGGGATTTCCCAAACGAGGTTGTGTGACGTTTTATGGGGACTTAAGAAGAGGGACTACATAAAACCTGACTCACTGTGGTAATCTTCTTACGAAAGTCGGGTAAGGTGGCGTTGGTAGTAACGAGTTGGGCAAGAGTGCAAAGTCTGCTGCTCCGTTTTTATTTTTCCCTTTGGGTAGGGATTTTTATTATCTCCAAGAGGATTCTTTGTGGAACTCACTTTCCTGTAAAAGTAAGGAGCAGCGTTTGGAGGGTGTCCAAGGGAGTCGTTCGAAGAGCAGCTTAATGTCAAATATTTAATTGTTTGTCAAAAGCGACCCCCCCCCCCCGGCCCCTTCAAATCGTAAGTTCCTCCCGGAACTGGAACTCTTTTCTGTAGCCTGCCCTGAATGAGAGTCGTTCATCTTGTTTTCTTTTAAGACATTAAAAAATATATTTGTTTGAGTTATTTTATTCTTACATAGGTTTTTTAATTTATTTTTTTAAATTTTGTAATTTAATTTTTTTTTGGGGGGGGCTGTTGTTTTTTTGTTTCTCTGTTTGTTTTTAATGAAAGCTGTTCTTTGATAAACATTTCAGTTTGTTGATCAATTGCACCTCCATCGTACGAAATGTTTAATTATATTTTCTTTTCATTCCTTCCTTCCACTTCCCCCCCCCCCCCCCCCCCACTATCATGTCTATGGTGACGCGTGTGTACGAAGGACAAGAGAGTGAATCGATGAAGACGTCAGCCCTAGAGGCCACGTGCACGCTGAAGCAGGCGCTGCTCACAGAACACGAGGCCAACCTGGCTCTCAAGGAGCAGCTCCGGAAGATGCAGGTGAGGCAGGTGGTGATGGGGATGGGCACATTTTTATTGTTTTCTCTATTTTTATCTTGCCAGTGATGCTGGTGGTAGTGAGAATGATACTTCTTGTTGCTGTTGTTGTGATGGTAGTGGTAGGATGGTGGTAGTTGGGAGGTGGTAATATCTGTTGCTGCTTTTTTGTTGTGGTTGTGTTGGCTCCTTTTTTCCTATCAAACATCTATCGTCTTTATCTCTCCCTCCTTCTTTTTTGTGTTTGTCACTCCCTGGTAACACCTCTAATCTTTGGCAGTTATGTGACTTTATTGTGTTACAAGTGCCGTAAAACTCTTACGAAAAAAGGTTGTAGTGGTTGTTGTTGCTGCTGTTGTTTTGGTGGTAATGATGGGGAGGGGATGGCTGGGGTTCTGATTTTTTCTGCTGTATTGTTGTAGTGGTCATGAAGATGACGTTCATTTTGAATTTAGTTGTGATGGTTGTTGTTTTGTTGCGGTTGTCGTTGTGACGGTGGTGATTGTTGTTGTTGTTGTTGTTGTTGTTGTTGTTGTTGTTGTTGTTGTTGTTGTTGTTGTTGTTGCTACTGCTGTTGCTTTTTGCAGCGGTGATTGTGGTTATGATTGTTAATGTTTCTAATAAGTCTGCTTTTACTGGCGTCACCGTCGTCGTTGTTGTTGTTTAGGTATGTGGGAGCCTACCCTTCCGAATTGTTTGGAGCCCCGAAGAGTGTGCTCTTTTGCCAGGGCCACTGCCTCTCTTGGGTAGCGGGTGATGAAATCCAACCTTCCTGAATCCTCCTCAAAGAGATACCACCGCCGGACCTCCGTAGCGGGGCATCTCTGAAGCCAGTGTTCCAAATCTTAGGGCTCCTTAGTGCACAATGGACAAATTGGGTCCGATATGTTGTCTATTCTAGTTTTGTAGGCCTGCAGCCCAGAGAAGTGGCCAGTCCTTATTTTTATCATTAGTGACTGGTCGCCGCTGTACTTAATTTGCGCCTCCCGTTTTAAAGATATTGCCGCGTGTACTTCCTTCGTCCGCATTTGAGATATTGGAGGGTCTTTGGTAATCAGATTTATCTGGGCGCACGCACATCCATATGCGATTTGGCGGCCTGAGCCCGGCAGCGCTGTTGCCTGTTTGGCATTACTATCAGTAAGTCGATGCCGAGGATGTCACAGTGACTTGGGAATCAACGTAATTGTTGTTGTTGTTGTTGCGGTGGTAGTGGTGGGTCTGTTGGTGGTAGTGTTCTTACTGAGCATCTGTGGAGTTTTTCTTTTTGTCGGAGTGTTAGTGATATTAAATGATGGACTTCTTTTGCAATTGTCGTTCATGACTTCTTGTTGTTGTTGTTGTTGTTGTTGTTGTTGTTTTCGGCGAGATTGTGTTACTGGATGATAGTAATATTCATTCGCAAGAAGTTGACTGGTTTTATTAGAAAATGTTTCCTACGCCTAAAGTCTAGTTTCTTTACACTGACCTTTTTTTTTTTTTTTACAAATGCACATAATTTCCTGAAATTCATAAGTCTTAAGTCAACTTTTTTCAGTCTTAGTGATTATCTTTTATGCGTACACTGAACTTGTTTTTAAATGCATTAAAGTTCCCCAAAGTTGTTGGTTTGTGCTTATCGCTGCATTACTCATTGGATAATAGACACTCGTTAGATCTATGTCATGTGTCTTGTCATATTGTGCAATTTCCATTTCAAGCTATGATTTAATATTGCCCGCAATATCAAATAACAGACAAGCGCAGCGTCTGTTTGTTTTAATCCTAGTTATGTAATGTGTGTTTTTACTTTGATGTTTATTTATGATCCTAGCGTACTGGGTCAGGGGGGTCTTTACTGCTCTCTCCGTCCTTATCTTTTGCTCTCATCGATTTCATTTCTCCATCGTTGAAAATAAAGCCTTCAGTTCGACCCCGTGTATCAATTTTCTTTACCGCCGCCGTGAAAAAAAGCGTTTGTTACCTAAAGATTTCATGTTTTTTTTAAATCAGACATTCACTTAATTTTTGCTATTAAGAATGCCACAGGTTCAGTTAGCAGCGTTATGTTGGGCACTGGCTCTCATCATCAGCAGTGAATCTTTGAACCACCTGTCATATCGTCGATGGATTATAATTCGGTTTTAATTAGAACGTTGTTGGAGTTAAAATTCCAAATTGTTTGTGTTAAGTTGTCAGGCCCGTGTTTGACAAACAGCATGTCAGCCTATTCGGCCCTCGGGCTCTGTTTTGCTAATTTTGTTTTCCCACAGAAATGTTGCAATATTATCTTTGTTATATTTGTTACAGTTCCTTCAAACCTACTTAGGTCATTTAGATGACGTGCTGCTTCAATTTTGCCTGTCAGAGGATAGTGTTGAACACATGTGTCTTCAAACATCTCTCTCTCGCTCTCTCTCTCTCTCTCTCTCTCTCTCTCTCTCTCTCTCTCTCTCTCTCTCTCTCTCTCTCTCTCTCTCGCTCTCTCTTTCTCTGTTTCTTTCGATTTCTGTGTGTGTGTCTCCCTCCCTCTCTCTCTCTCTCTCTCTCTCTCTCTCTCTCTCTCTCTCTCTCTCTCTCTTTCTCTCTCTCTCTATCTATCTATCTCTCTGTCTTTCTCTCTCTCTCTCTTTCTCTCTCTCTCTTTCTCTCTCTCTCTCCCTCTCTCTCTCTCTCTTTCTCTCTCTCTCTCTCTCTCTCTCTCTCTCTTTCTCTCTCTCTCTCTCTCTCTCTCTGATGTTATGATATACAATACGCATTTCTTTGGGGTAGAAATTTCAATTCTGGGGGCAACAGCAGAATTGTTTGTATTATTGTTGTTAATAAAAAACTGATGTTGGTGGCAGAAGGCCCTAACCATCCATCTCTGTACATTAAATGAAAAGTTCTATTACAAATAATTTCCAGTGAAAACTGGTCCGATTGCACAAAAGAACAAGGAAAACTTTTGTTCGAGACTGGGATATATCTAGAACTGACGTTAGCCTGAAGAAGTCTTTTGCTGCCATCGCCTACTGTCGCTATTACACGCGTTTTGCGAAAATGTGGTCAGTGTCGGCCTTACACTGGCTAGACAAAATGCCTTCCTCGTTCACACCCTGATCAACATAGCAATGAATGTCCATGAACAAAATAGCGATGAATGTGTTTTTGGGTGGTTTGTCGTTGTTGTTGTCTTTTTTTTTTTTTTTTTTGGTGATCATAATTGTCCGCCATCGTGGAAATCTGACAGACAGGAATGTATTATGTATACGTGTCTTTTAGATTGGATATGTATAGAGTTATGTTCTGTCGTCTATATTTTGGTGGTTGCTGTATTGGGAATATGGTCCCTTCTCTGACATAAAGACAATGCTTCCCCTTTTTTAATGACCTATTAAAATTTTGTATTCTATTTGGGCTCAATTTTAGCTCATAATAGTAACAGTGCGTCGTGTTGCGAAAGAGTGTTATTTTCCTTTTTCAGAGGAAACGCTCGGGCGGGTGGAAGGAGAGTGTTGTTATGAGAAATGCAGCCCTGTTGGACAATGGGCTATATCACCGTCATTATCTTGAGGTTTTGTCTGGTCCTGCTCAGTAGGGTGAAGTGTGTTCTAACTGTCGTAGCCGCGATGGCGTCTAGAAATAAACCCTGTGTATGGATGTTTTGGTCGGTTCTGGGATTGATTATAGATATTAACACACGTAATTACGAAAAGGTCTTTCGACTTGTATGGTGTAGCGTCTTATGAAGACTGCCTATTCTATAAAGAACGAGCTTTAGATACTGACAATATCTTTGCACGCAGGGTCACTCTTTTCCTGTATTAACAATCGCGCATGGACCTTGTTGAGGAGTGGCGAGGAGTTATAAATAGAATCCGCCTCTGAAGACCCTTCTGGAATCCAGTTCATCAAGTAATCAAGTAATTACACATTCTTGGGGCAGCGGTGGATGTTTAAGAGAGCTTCGCTATTTTGTATTAGCCCTTTTATTTCTGTCTGTCTGTCTTCCTGTTTTTATCCCCAGCACTAAGTGACCCGTAATTGTGTCTTGGTTTGTTTTTTTCAACGCGACCCCAGTCTGATGAGCGGGTAATACAGACATGTGTCAATGTAATATTCTGTTGTTATCAATCAAGCATGTCGTCTGTTTCCTGTAAGTATACAGAAATTAGCCGTGGTCAGTTCTGACGGCACTTTGGTCCCTCTACGCTAGTCCTGTCTTAGGTCTCAGATAACAGATCAGACAGAGGGTTGCAACCCGCGGCAACTTCAATTATTTCCAATTAAGCTTTCCTTTACGACATGTGCTTTGATTATATTATACTGAAACAAGACAAGGGGCACCAGCGTGCATGGTGTAGCGTGCAGGTGCTTTGCCGTGGCACGCAAAATAAATGAGATTGATTCCTCTTTGGGATGAACTGTCATAGCTAGACGATTATCTCCGTTTCTCTGCTCGAACGTTGTGTCCCTCTCATCCCGGTCGGCTTTGAGAGGCAAAGTTGAAGCAGCCCGTCACAAAATTAGTCGAAATAGTGTCGATAAGGACGTGGAAACTACAATAACAAAATATCGTTAAACCTTTTCTGACGACTACCTGTCCAAGACAATCACGTGTAAAAACGATCACTTCTCTCTTCGCCCCTAGCTTTATTCTGTATCATTATGACACTCACCAAGTGGGCCCCGTGTCTAAGATGACCACTTTTGTCCTTGATTATATATGGTGGTCTCATACAGGTTTGACGTAGATTGTATCTGGTGGTCTCATATAGGTTTGACGTAGATTATATGTGGTGGTCTCATACAGGTTTGACGTAGATTATATGTGATGGTCTCATACAGGTTTGACGTAGATTATATGTGGTGGTCTCATACGGGTTTGACGTAGATTATATGTGGTGGTCTCTTACAGGTTTGACGTAGATTATATGTGATGGTCTCATACGGGTTTGACGTAGATTATACGTGGTGGTCTCATACAGCTTCAACCTACAATTCTAAGGTGGTCTATAATGTGGAGTGGCGTCGCGTCATCA